GAGGAGGAGGAGGAGGAGGAGGAGGATCAGGAGCAAGAGCAGGACCAGGAGCAGGACCAGGAGCAGGAGCAGGAACGGGAGCGGGAGCGGGAGCAGGAGGAGAAGAAGGAGCAGGAGCCGGAGCCGGAGCAGGAGCAGGAGCAGGAGCAGGAGGAGGCGGAGGAGGAGGATGAGGAGGTGGAACGTCGGCGACTACAACGGGTGTGGCCACGGTCGGGAGCTCTGGGGTAGCGGGTCGCTCCGCCCTTTCTGGCCCACCATGCTTCGGCTCGACAGGTTATCCACGTCCCAGCCCCTAGGCGTCGACGTCTTAAGTTTTTCGAGGCCTCCCGGCCCGCGGAACGGAGCGGCACGCTATTCGCTTGCAAGGGATAGCGTGTCGTCGGGGCCACCGCGGCGACACTCTAAGCTAATGTTCCCGACCGTAGGAGGAGGAGGAGGAGGAGGAGGAGGAGGAGGAGGAGGAGGAGGAGGAGGAGGAGGAGGAGGAGGAGGAGGATGATAAGGATCAGTGTGAACCCAAGACTCACCAACGATGTGGAAATTCACCCTCCCTCCAAGATCCCTCCTCGTAGGCCCCTTTAATGGGGTCATTTCCACAGGGAAGTGCCCCGTTGGGGGACAACCGTGTGAACATCTTGAAGCGTACCAAAACACCGTTCTCAGGATTTCAACGCCACGAGTTCACCTGACTGTTGCGTCTTGGTGATCCCAAATCGCACAAGAAAGTTATTCTTGGGTCTTCAACACCGCCAATCAACGTCACTTTCGCGCCCTGACAATCTAGAATCGCTGCAACCCAAGTCTGGCACGTTAGCCATTATAATTAGCGAAACGAATGTGCGCGGAGCAGAGGCGACAACTACATTTTTAAAACGTGCCGCCCTCAATCCGCGACGCTCTTGCAACTTTTCAAAAAGAAGGTGCGCGGCGCTGAGGAGAGAGCCACATGTTGAAAACGCCCTGCCCTCAATCCGTGAAGCTTTAGCAACTGTTTCAAACAAATGTGCGTGGCGCTAAAGCGAGAGTACCATTTTGAAAACCACGCGCCCTCAATCCGCGAAGCCCTTGCAATTTTTCAAACAAATGTGCGCGGCGCCGAGGCGAGAGTACCATTTTGAAAACGACCCGGCCTCAATCTTGAAAGCTTTTCCAAATTAGAGAGTGTGCGCGGAGCAGAGGCGACAACTACATGTTTAAAACGTGCCGCCCTCAATTCGCGAAGCTCTTGCAACTTTTCAAAAAGAAGGTGCGCGGCGCTGAGGAGAGAACCACATGTTGAAAGCGCCCCGCCCTCAATCCATGACACTTTTGCAACTGTTTCAAACAAATGTGCGTGGCGCTAAAGCGAGAGTACCATTTTGAAAACCACGCGCCCTCAATCCGCGAAGCCCTTGCAGTTTTTCAAACAAATGTGCGCGGCGCTAAGGCGAGAGTACCATTTTGAAAACGTACAGCTTTCAATCCGTGGAACTCTTTGCAATTTTCAAGACCAATGCGCGCGGCACTAAGATGAGAGCCACATTTTGAAAACGATCCGCCCTCACTCCGTGAAGCCCTGGCACATTTTTCAAACGAATGTGCGCGGCGCTACGGCGAGAGCCACATTTTGAAAACGACCCACGCTCCATCTGTGAAGCTGTTGTCACATTTGAAGTATAAGTGGTGAGGAAGTCTCAGGCGGAACGCCTGGCCCGTCCTTTCGATTTCGGGGTGCGACAGGGAGGATTTGTTGGTAAGGAAAAGGCATGGAGGAGGTTCCCCTGAGATCCGGACGTTGCAATCTTTTCGCGACGGGCGTTTTCGCGCGGTGTCGGGCCCGGGGACCCTCACAGATCGATCCGGCTCGAAGAATGGCGCAGAAAGATGGGGTCCTGGATTCCAGTCGTGATTTTTAAGGCTTGCGCCACATCAGCCCGCTCCTGGGAGCGATTTCGGGGGAGCTCGGGCCAACGTGGCCGCGGATAACACCAAAGGGGGGAATATACCGGAATCGTTTGTTTTTGTTTTGGAAAGTCTAGATTTTCGCTTCTTGGTGCTCTCTGGGTGTCTCCGACACGCTGGGGTGTCCAAGGTGTTTGGTGGATTGCGGGACGTGTCTTTCCCTCCTCATCTTGTGGTGGCGACGAGAGTTTCAGAAGCTGCAGAGAGGTTGAGATAGGTGGGAAGT